ACACGTTCTTACCTCGGGGCTAAGGGTGACAGAACCCATGCTGGGGAACGAAAAGAGAGAGAAATTAAAAGAGAGAGAGAAGGGGACAGTGCAGGAGCCTGGGAGCTGCAGGAGGGCAGAGCAAAATAACCAGCATGCAGCCAGGGCAGGGAGAGATGAGCAGCCAGACAGACACAGCCAGGGGGGGCCCCGAGGGACCTGTGTGGTCTCAGGTCTTGGGGTATCCCCGAGGGCAGACGTGGCCCATCACCAGGAGAGCAGCCCGTGCCCACCCCATGCACACAGCTCTGCCCAGGGGTCTCCATCCCCATCTCCCCTCCCCACCCTAATTCCTGGTGCCTGCCCCTCGCACACCCGCAGCCGAGCCCCTCAGCCCCTGCCCTACCTCACGTAGAGAGAGATGGGCACCACAGTGTTGAGGATGATGATGTAGGACCAGAAGGAGAGGAAGCCGGAGAAGAAGGCACTGTGCACCCCCTCATCCCAGGGCAGGTAGATCTGGAAGCAGACGCCAACCTCGTGCTCCCAGATGGCGTTGCCGATGGCCAGAATCACCCCCATGCACACCAGGAACCCAAAGATCTGAGGACAGGACAGGACATCAGAGGACAACAACTGGGGCAGAGCCGGAGCTCCCCAGGATCCACCTTCTCCATACCCAGAGCACCAGCGTGTTCATCAGCCGATCGATGCTCGTCCGCTTGAACTTGGTCCGGCCGCTGTTCTGCATCAGCTTCGTGTCGGGCCCTGGGGAGAGGGAAGGGCGTCAGCGGGGTCTCCCCCTCCCCTCCCATCCCCTCCCCTCCCCTCAGCACAGCAGCAGCAGTGGTCCCAGCCCACCTGCGAAGATGACGAGGCCGAAGCACCACTCGGTGTTGCGCAGGACACAGCCCCGCAGCAGCATGTTCTGGTTGCTCAGAGGGTACTTGTTCTCCTTCCAGTACAGTGTCCCACCAAACTTGTCCAGCTTGTTGTTGGGGGGTTCACAGATCACCTCACCTGGGCGTGGGAGATGGCTCAGCTGTAATGTGCCTTATCCACGTGCCCAGCTCCACCCCAGTGCTCCCAGCACCATCCCCAGTTCCCCAGGGATCTGCTTCAAGCCACAGGACCACAACACTGCGTGGATGGTCCTGTTTGCTCCAGGGTGGACCTGTGCCAGGTGATGGAGGAGGAAACCCAAGGGCTGCCCCATCGCAGAGGACCAGTTGCAGGCACTCACCATCAAACTGAGCCAGCTTGCTGGTGTCACCCAGCTCCGAGGTGACGGGGATGGCCTGTCGCACCTTCATGTTGGTCTCTCTGCGGGGAAGGAGGCACAGTGCAGGGTTAGTGACAGCCTGGCAGGGAAGGCCTTCAGGGACACGCCCCAGCTTCAGGTCCCTGCAGCTCCTGCCCTGCCCACAGCCTGTTCCCACTCCTGTCTCTCACCTTCCCCCACCACCCAAGGCCATGGGGATGAAGGTGCCCGAAGCGAGCAGGGGTCACCTACCCGTCCAGCTCTGCGGTCTCTATGTAGCACAACCCATGGGGTTCGCTGCTGCAGAGGAGGAGGAGGTCAGCCTGCCAGGAGAGACACGTGAAGGGATGTGCTGACACTGACTCCAGAGCCTCGTGTCCTTAGCGGGGCACTGCCAGCAGCCTGGTCTGGACACCACTGCCTGATGCACCCACATCGGCCAAACCCCAGAGCTCACACACAGCTCACATGCTACAGCCCAAATGCGGCTTCCAGGCTGCAAAGTCCCTGACATTACCACCCCAGGAGGTGATGAAGGAGCACAAGGAACGGGCGCAGCTCCACACTGTGCTGCTGTCCCCGTGCGCTGCCCAGCTGGGACCGTGCTCGTCCCAGGGCCACACTCACCGCCACAAACTGGTTGTTCTCCAACTTGATGATGTCTCCGACACGGACGTTCATCCACTGCTCCTGCCGGAGGCTGCAGAGGGACAGCGGAGCGGAGTCAGGCGGGAGCTGGCAGCGTTGCTTCTCCCTTGCCCCAGCGCGCTCTGCCTCTGCCCGCAGCCCTGTGCCGCGTCCCGCAGGACCCCGTGTCCCCTCCCCAACCACCTTGTCCCCACGACACTCACACTCCGCTGATCAGCACCTGAGACTGACGGTTGTTCACCTGGTTGTCACTTTTATGGCGGAACTGGGTGCGGAGGGGAAGAGACAGCAGTGTCAGAGCCCCCCTGGGGACAGGGTCCTGCGGCCCCTCCCCTGCAAACACCACGACTCCAGGCACCTCACACCCGCACCAGGGTCACAGCCCCAGGTCCCCAGGCACAGCCTGGACAGAGGGGCATGTAGGGGACCACTCACATAGTCGTCGGTGGCATCTTTGACAGCGGTGATGGTTAAGACAAGAACCAAAGGCACGATGGTGGTGAACCAGGAGAGCGAAGAGATCTGCGGGATCAGCTGTGGGGACGGGGACTCGGGGTTACAGGGGACCAGGCCAGCTCCAAGCCCACGCTACCCCCACTCAAGGGTGTCAAACCCACTGCTCCCCAGGAGTGGGACGTGCCCTGGGCCCCCCCAGCTGCCCAGACAGGGAAGGACAGGA